AAAGGTAGAAAAAACAAAATAAATGATTACCAGGTGACTGGCAGTCGGCAATCTTGTCGTATGTGGGTCAATTTCTCTCAACTTCACGCCTCCATACCTCGGTAAATATTAACGGTAAAAAAATTTTTTTAGCCTATAAAATTTAGAAAAAAACTATCTTTTCATAGGAAATTTTTTTTTTTCGAATATTTTCCGACCCTGAGAACAAGTTTGGGAGAGAGCCTGCCGACCCTGAAAGGGTTAAGAGTGACTCACTCACTAATGTTGAAGATGCAGTAATAATAATTATAATAACAATCGCTCTGAGGTGTATTAAATGTCGTATATTATGTTATTAAAGACATTTTCATTAATCAATCTATGACATTTCCTAAAAATTATGTAAGAAACACTCTACATATCATATAAACAATAATTTACTGGGTGGCTAAATCACCAGTAATTTTTACAATGTTGTGGACAAGGGATCAATTCCCGTAACTGTAAGTGTTGTCTTGCCATATAAACAGAAGGCGAAAGTTCACAGCTGTCTAAAGTTAACTTAGCCACATTACATGGATAGTGTCTCTGCCTGAAGACAGATAGTACATATGAAACAGTTCATCCTAGACTCTCAAAATCATAACATTATGATTGACTGCAAATAAACCACAGTACAAGTGGGGTTATAACTTATGGCAAGTGAATTGGATCAATCTTATTATAGCCAGCTGGCCCAGTGGCTTACATACTGGCTTGGAGCTTTACAATTCACTTGCCATGAGTTCTAACCCTACCCATAAAACAGTTTAGTTGATCCTAGAGCACGAGTATTATCAATGGTGCTAAGACTGGAAAGACTGAAAGCTTGTTTAGCATTTTGTACCATAACAATGGTGGCAAATGCTAAACAAGCTTGTTTAGTCAAACATGGCACAGAAGTGCCTTGCTGATACTATGGTCTAAAAGATAGTCTGTGGGAGTCGTCAGCTGAAGAGTACAGAACTATCCATGAGGTACCTTCAAACATAGACTGAAATGGATGGAATTGTCAAGCAGGTTGTTTCTGAGAATAAGAGTGAAAGGTAGCTGGGTTAAAGTCATCTGTTACAGGTCTGGGTCGTTTGGACAGGGGACCGAAGGTGGTTCTGAGATGTGTGGATGATCCAAAAAATGATGCACTGTAGAGGGGAAGTTGAAATCATGGTCAAGGTTGTGTGGAGATCAGATGTATCAAAAGGGTCAGTTTTGGAACCTCGGTACTAAAGGTGGGCAATGAGATGTGACCCGAAAGAGGTACAGGGTTCTTTGAGAGGTCTGAAGAAGGGTCTGATGACACACCAAGGTCTTGGGAGGATGCCACTGGGGAAGGAAGGGGTCCAGGAAGAGGGATTTCATGGATACCTGTCTCAATGATAGTTTCTTTTTTTTTTTTTTAAATAGGGGAGTGTGTGGAGTGACACCTCCTAACATAAATTAAAGGGATTACATAACCCTGTCTGTGTCCAAAAGGACTCTTGGTGCAGCCAGTAATGCAGATGCTGCCCAGATCCTGTGCCCTGCCTACCCTTCATGCCAGTAAACAAGTACAGTGGTCCCTCAATTATCGTCCTTAATCTGTTTATGGAAGTGGGACTATTATCGAAATAGACGATTTTCAAATCAATTTTCCCCATAAGAAATAATGTAAATCCAATTAATTCGTTCCAGACACCCAGAAGTATCAACAGCAATTTTTGCTTTTTTTACCTAAAAGATAGATTTACATGTACAAAAAAAATGAACATTCAACATGACAGTTACCTTTATTGAAGGCTGTTGTTGATGAATGGAAGACAGGGAGGAGGAGAGAGAGGGAAGAGAGGTTATTGTTTGGAAGGGGAATCCCCCTCCATAAGGACTCTAGGTCACTTCAGGGGTCACTTCCCTAGCATAAATATAGATTTACATGCAAAAAATAATGCCAAATAAATGTAAAGCACCAATAAAATGTATAAATGAACATTGGTAATAGGGGTAGTTGATGAGTGGAACGGTCTGCCTAGTAGGGTGATCAAAGCTAAAACATTGGGTAGTTTCAAATTTAGGTTGGATAAATACATGAGTGAGAGGGGTTGGATTTGAGTCAGACTTGCACCTGAGCTTATTGCTTGGGTAGCATTTGTTCTGTTAGTGGGTTGGATTTGTGAAGGACCAGCCTAGTATGGGTCAACAGGCATATTGCAGTGTTCCTCCTTTCTTGTATTCTAAAAGCTATGGCTTAGGTAGTTTCAAATTTAGGTTGGATAAATACACGAGTGAGAGGGGTTGGATTTGAGTCGGACTTGCACCTGAGCTTATTGCTTGGGTAGCATTTGTTCTGTTAGTGGGTTGGATTTGCGAAGGACCGGCCAAGTATGGGCCAGCAGGCCTACTGCAGTGTTCCTCCTTTCTTATGTTCTTATTGAAGACTTGTTTGTGTGAAGGAGGGATGGCAAGTTTATTGTTGGAGAATATGACACTAATATCAACTCTACGCCTTATTTATCTATCACAATTCAACTAATATGACATAATAAACAATATTAATAACATAGAAACCTGGAATATAGTCAAGAATGAATAAAATAAGTCATTACGTATGTCACGAGAGGTGTTGTGTTGTTGTTGGGTATATAAGGGCCACTGAGAGTAAGCCGTCCATAATGGTGGTGAAGCAGCAGCTGAGGCGGCGGTGTTTTCTGTAGCTCTATATAACTCCAACAATATTGGAGGAGCGGTAGAATCGCTGAATCACTAAAGAAGGCACCCTCTACCACCATCACTACCACCTTCTACCACTATTACAACTGCTACTACCATCACTACCACCTTCTACCACTATTACAATTGCTACCACCATCACTACCACCTTCTACCACTATTACAACTGTTACCACCATCACTACTTCCTTCTACCACCATCACCACCACCCTCTACCACCATCAACCACTATCACAACTGCTTCCACTCTACCACCACCACCACCTTTGTATTTTTCTACAAACTTTTTCATAAATTATATGTGTTTCTCACATTCTTTACCAAAGGACTGGCACTAGAAGCTTTCTTTGGAGCAAGCACTAAAACGAATTGAATATTATGAATATTTCGTATGAACAAGTGAGGGGACCGTCGCTCACTGGTAAACAATGGCACACTGGCTGGGAAGAGAGGCTGAGGCGGCTCAGAGTGTGAGTCATGTCCCGGACGAAGGACGATTAGCGAGTAAACCGACCATTTGCAAGCCAATGCTTGGACGAGAATAACGCGACGATTTCCGAAAAGGATGACTATCGAGCTGGACGATTATTGAGTGACCACTGTAATTCAGGATAACCTCACATCCACAGAGCCACCTCAACAGACAAGAGAGAGGGTGGTCAGAAGCCCGCCACAAGGCATATCCTGTTTGGCTATCATCTGCAGGAACTGACAGACAAACAGACCCCAAAGATAAAGACACCTAAAGCCACCCTCCAGAATTCCAGAGGGTGGGGATCAACACATCCTGAGGTGGTCCAGATTCCATGACAAACACCACCACCACCGAGCACAGTGGACCCCCGCCTTACTATGGCATTGTGTTACGTTAAATCCGCCATACAATACATTTTAATGCAAAAATTTTGCCTCGCCTCACGCTTAAAAACTCGCCTTACGTGATTTGTATTATATTCTTAGTAGAGTATTAACTGTGTATGTCTTCTTCAGTTTGTGTGTCTTAAAATTAATATTTCATGTGGTAAAAAAATTTTTTTCATGCTTTGGGGTGTCTTGCATGGATTAATTTGATTTCCATTATTTCTTATGGGGAAAATTAATTCGCCTTATGATAATTTCGGCATATGATGAGCTCTCAGGAGCGGATTAGTATCATAAGGTGGAGGTCCACTGTATCTCAATGGAATGGACGGACAATGACACAATTTCCTCGACCTAAGAGCCATAATTTGTGAGGGAGATCCCCAAAGGAAAGGAAGAAAAGGGAAGTGATGGGCTAAGGTGAGATGGGAAAGATGGAGTGAAGGAGCATCTATGTTTGGTCTGAGGAAGAATAAAAGATCCAATTCCTTAGATCAAGAGCCTCTTCACCACAGCAAGGAACCCCCTATAAAGAGGCTTCATCTCCAAAGATGCCTCAATGCGTCACCCACCTTTTGTCCCTCATCAATTCTATAGTTCTTCTTGTCTTTCACAGACCCATCTGCTGACAAGTCCACTCCCAAATATCTGAACACATTCACTTCCTCCTTTCAATCTAATATCCACTCTATCATTACCTAAATTATTTGTCACCCTCATCACCTTTTCTTTATTATGTTTACTTTTAATTCCTTTTACATGCCATCTCAATTTTGTTAACCAACTTTTGCATCTTCTCTTCAGAATCTCTCAAACCCAGTATCATCAGAGAAAAGCAACTTTGACAACTCCCATTTTGTATTAGAATCTGCAAATTTTAATTTCACAACATCCTAACATTCACCTCTTTCACAATCCCATCTATAAATATGTTAAGCAACCATGGAGGCCTCATACAACCCTGTCTAAAGCCTACTTTAACTGGAAAAATAATCTCACTCTCTCCTACATACACTAACATGAGCTTCACTATCTTCATAAAAACTCTTAACTGCTTTCAGAAACCTACCACCTACTCCATGCACTGTGACATCTGCTACATTGCTTCCCTATCCATCCTATTATATACCTATTCCAAATCTATGAATGCAATGAAAACTTATTTACCTTTATCAAAATACTGTTCCCTTATCTGCTTCAATATAAACACTTGGTCTACACATCTCCCACCCTTCCTAAAGACTCCTTGTTGATCTGTGATCCGGCTCGCTGTCAAGCTCTTAATTACACTTTACCTGGTATTGCCAAAATGTCCTTTATAGAAAGGAACTATGCAAGCCCTCTGCTAATCCCTAGGGTACCTTTCCCTCTTTCATACATTTATTGAACAAAAGTATAAACCACTCCAAGAAAAAAGTATAAACCTGCTTTTAACATTTCTGTCTTGATCTCATCAATCCCTAGCTGTTGTACTCTTTTCATTTTACCCACTGCCTCACACACCTCCACCACTCTCACATCTGGCTATTCCTTACTCCTATAGGATGTTATATATCTCCCTGGCCAATGCATGAAATCACTGCCTCCCTTTCTTCATCAACATTTAACAGCTCTTCAAAATATTCTTGCCATCTACTCAATACCTCTAACTCCCCTCTTCTGTTTTTAACTATTAACAAATATAGACATATTTTTTCATTCAATATTGGCTTTTCTTTCCAAGATAATGAACGAGCACTCACAAATGCTAAAACAAACTAACATGGGGCAGGCCAGTAACTTCTCTTGCACTGGGGCAACAAATATGAACAGGTCCTGGATGAAGCCTGGATTGGACAAATTTGTGATGACGTGGACTTCATCCACTTTATCAGTGGTATAACCCGACCAAACTGTCATTTGATGCAGCAGCAGCACTGCTAATTTGACTGGACACCCCACTGAGCGGACTTGGCGAGCACTGTTGTGCCAGATTTTTAGTCCGTTTTGTTGAGAGTTTACTCTAAGTACAGAATTCTCTCAATAAAATTTTACAGTTTAGCTTCTGCATGTGTTTCCATATGATTCAAAAGCATCCCTTTATCTTTAAAATATTTCGGACACTCGGGACATTGATATGATTTACCTCCTGTATGTACCCTCATATGCTTAACGAGACTGCTTTTTTCCCTAAAATATTTCAAACATTCTGAACACTGATATGGCTTTTCTCCTGTGTGTACTCTCATATGGTTAACAAGACTACTTTTTACCCTAAAATATTTTAAACACTCTGAACACTGATATGGTTTATCTCCAGTATGTACTCTCATGTGCCGCACAAGACTGCTTTTTACCCTAAAATATTTCAGACACTCTGAACATTTATAAGGTTTATCTCCTGTATGTACTCGCATGTGCTTCACAACATTGGCTTTTTTACTGAAATATTTCAGACACTCGGAACATTCATATGGCTTTTCACCTGTGTGTACTCGCATATGGTTTACAAGACTACTTTTTTCTCTAAAATATTTCAGACACTGTGAACACTGGTATGGTTTATCTCCTGTATGCACTCGCATATGCCTCACAAGACTGCCTTTTACCCGAAAATATTTTAAACACTCTGAACACTGATATGGTTTATCTCCTAAATGTACACGCATATGGGTCACAAGAGTGCCTTTTGTACTAAAATTTTTCTGGCACTCTGAACAGTTAAATGGTTTATCTCCTGTATGTACTCGCATATGGCTCACAAGACTGCCTTTAGTACAAAAGTGTTTCAGACACTCTGAACACTGATATGGTTTATCTCCTGTATGTCCTCTCACATGGATCACAAGACTGTTTTTTTCCCAAAATTTTTTCAGACACTCAGAGCATTGATATGGCTTATCTCCTTTATGTACTCGCATATGCTTCAAAAGATTGCCTTTTTCTCTAAAGTATTTCAGACACTCGGGACACTGATATGGTTTATCTCCTGTGTGTACTCGCATATGAATCACAAGACTGCTTTTCTCTGTAAAATGTTTCAGACATTCTGAACACTGATATGGTTTATCTCCTGTATGCACTCTCATATGCCTCTTAAGATGACTTTTTTGGCTGAAATATTTCAAGCACTCTGAACAGTGATACGGTTTATAACCTGTATGTAATAGCATATGCCTCACAAGGTCGCCTTTTTGATTACAATATTTCAGACACACTGAGCATCGATACGGTTTGGCTCCTGTATGTAATCGTGAATGTTTCACTAAATTGCCTTTCTCTGTAAAATATTTCAGACACTCTGAACACTGATATGGTTTAATGCCTGTATGTATTCGTACATGTTTCAGAAGGTGATCTTTTCGCTTAAAATACTTCAAACACTGTGAACACTGATATGGTTTATCTCCTGCATATATCTGCATGATTTGAAAGGTTGCCATTTCACTATGGTAGTTTATACATTCTACACACCCATAAAGTTTATCTCACATATATACTTTCATATTTTTAAGACTACTTTTCACTCTAAAATATTATAGTTTCTGCAATATACAATATAGTTTATCACTGTTATTTATTGTTTCAAAATATTCCATTTTGTTAACATGTTTCAGAGACTGAGCACAGTTTCTCTCCTGTAGATAATCTTGCGTAAAAAGATTATGAACAATGATAAGGTTTATCTTTTGATTATACTCTAGTGTGCTTTAAAGGGTAACCTTATATTCTAAAGCATTTCATACATGCTCAACATTATTATGGTCTTTTTTCTCTCCTGTTTTCCTGTGTCAGACTTTCCATAAATTTATGAACTATAATTAATTTCTATTTTTCAACGAACTGCTATGCACTTTACAATAGACTCAAACATAACAAGTTAAAATTCACTGAGATATCAGGTGTTGTCCAAGACACTTGCACAGGTAATTTCTGAAGTATTGGAAGAATAGCATTAGGGAAGATACAGCAGGTAATTTCTGAAGTATTGGCAGTAAAGCCTCAGGAAAGATACAGCCTGGTAGAGTGTTTCACAAATTACTTCTATAATATCAGGTGTTGTCCAAGACACTTTAACACTGCTGCTTCATTTTGTACTGGAGATAACGTGTCTGAGAAGATACAGCACGGTAGTTTGATCCACAAAATACGTCTGGAAAAGAACATTGAGTAAGCATAACATGAAATTACATGAAAACCCACACATCAAATTAAACTAAAAAATAATAAAAAGAAATTCTCTCCAGCACAAATTAGCACACCTCTAATTAATGGGAATTATCACTATTTAACCCTTTCAGGGTCCAAGGCCAAAATCTGAAGTGGTGCCCCAGCGTCCAAGAACAAAAAAAAAAAAAAAAAAAAAAAAAAATCTTACAGAATTAAAGAGTATATTTTTGTGAAGGTAATAAAACAAAAAAAAAAAATTCTGATCAGTACTTACCAAGATACAGTGCCGAAAAGTTGACCCAAAATGACTGGGTGGCGGCAACGTCGACGATTTCCACATTCGAGCCTTACTTTATTTTACATTTTTTGCAGTTTTTTCTTTTCATTTCTAATTTTTTTTTCTTTCCTACTAAAATTTGGGGCCTGAGAGACCAATATTGTATATAATGTATATATATAAACTCACTGTATTGAACATAATAACCGCACTAAAGTTATTATCATATTATTGTTTACCACTTTTGTTTATTACAATAAACATGCACAAATCTTGTATAATACTAAAGTTCTATCATATATTTATATATTTACAATCACTAGACATGTTTTTAGAATTGCTGGAGCTTGTGGAACCCCTTGAAACAAGGCACCATGCACAGAGGTACCTTACATTCCTTGCACATAAACCGAGTGTCTTTGCGTCTTTGTTGCTGTCATTTTGTTTGTGCACAGACAATGCATCTCTTCTGAGCAAATTTCTTCTTAGTTGCAGGAAGCTGTATTATGAAATGATCACCTTCCCTCCTCAAACGCTTGGGTATATTCTGAGGAGTTCAAGGACCTTGTTGTATAGCAGGTGTTGTTACCTGGTACAGTGGTCCCTCAATAATCGTCCGGCCTGAAAGTCGTCCATTTCGGAAAGTCCTGTTTTTTCGTCAAAATATTGGCTCGCAAATGGTCCGGTAACTCGCTAATAGTCCTTCGTCCCGGACGTGTACTCACGCTCTGAGCCGCCTCGGCCTATCCTTCCCAGCCAGTGTGCCATTGTTTACCAGTGAGCGACGGTCCCCTCATGTGCTCCAGCGAAATATTTCATAATATTCCATTTATTTTAGTGCTTGCAAGTTATTTAAGTGCTAATTAAGCTACCATGGCTCCAAAGAAAGCTACTAGTGCCAAGCCTTTGGTAAAGAAGGTGAGAAATACAATTGAATTTAAGAAAAACATCATTGAACAATATGATAGTGGCGTACATGTGGGCGAACTGGCCAGGATGTATAACAAATCCCATACAACCATATCTTCCATCATAGCCAAGAAAAAGGAAATCAAGGATGCTGTTGTTGCAAAGGGGGTAAATATGCTGACAAAAATGAGATCACCAGTACTCGAAGATGTTGAGAAGTTATTATTGGTGTGGATAAATGAGAAACAATTAGCAGGAGATAGTCTTATGACGTCGCTTATTTGTGAAAAGGCTAGGCAGTTGCATGAAGATTTGGTAAAGAAATTGCCTGCAACTAGTGGCGATGTGAGTGAATTTAAGGCCAGCAAAGGCTGGGTTGAGAGATTTAAGAAGTGTACTGGCATACACAGTGTGGTAAGGCATGGTGAGGCTGCCAGTTTGGACCACAAGGCGGCTGAAAAATATGTGCATGAATTCAAGGAGTACATAAACAGTGAAGGACTGAAACCTGAACAAGTGTTCAATTGTGATGAAACAGGCCTCTTTTGGAAGAAAATGCCAAAGAGGACCTACATTACTCAGGAAGAAAAGGCGCTGCCAGGACACAAGCCTATGAAAGACAGGCTGACGCTAATGTTCTGTGCTAATGCTAGTGGGGATTTCAAAGTGAAGCCGTTACTAGTGTACCATTCTGAAAATCCCAGAGTATTCAAGAAAAACAATGTTATGAAGAGTAAATTGTGTGTGTTTTGGAGATATAATAGTAAGGCATGGGTCACAAGGGACATTTTCATCGAGTGGTTCAATGAAGTGTTTGGCCCTAGTGTGAAGAATTACCTCCTGGAAAAGAAATTGGATCTCAAGTGCCTTCTAGTAATGGACAATGCACCTGCTCATCCTCCAAACTTGGATGACCTAATTCTGAAGAAGTTTGGGTTCATCACAGTAAAGTTCTTGTCCCCAAATACCACTCCTCTCCTCCAGCCCATGGACCAGCAGGTCATTGCAAACTTTAAAAAGCTCTACACCAAAGCAATGCTTGAAAGATGCTTGAATGTGACCTCAGACACTCACTTGACCCAACGAGATTTTTGGAAAGAACACATCAGTATTCTCCAATGCGTAGGCCTTATAGGTAAGGCTTGGGAGGGAGTGACTACCAGGACTTTGAACTCTGCTTAGAGAAAATTGTGGCCAGATTGTGTCCACAAGAGGGATTTTGAAGGGTTTGGGGCTGATCCTGATGAGCCTATGTCAGTTGTTAAATCCATTGTGGCACTGGGGAGTTCCATGGGGTTGGATGTGAGTTTGGAGGATGTGGAAGAGTTGGTGGAGGATCACAACGAAGAGCTAACCACTGAGGAGCTGCAAGAGCTTCAGCAGGAAGAGCAACAGATTGCAGCTCAGAATCTTGCTGCAGAAGAGGAGGAAGAGATGGAGGAAGGTGCCTTCTTCAGAAATTAAGGAGATTTTTGAAATGTGGGGTAGGATGGAAAGATTTATGGAGAAACATCACCCAGAGAAGGATGTTGCAAGCCATATTGGCAACTTGTACAGTGACAGAGTCTTGGCCCATTTTAGGGAAGTTTTAAAGAGACGCAAGAAACAGAGCTCTCTGGACAGTTTTTTTGCGAGACAGGACTCCAGTGACTCTCAAGGTGGTCCTAGTGGCATTAAGAAACAGAGAGGAGAAGTAACCCCAGAAAAGCAATTGGTACCCGAGGTGTCGATGGAAGGGGATTCCCCTTCCAAACAGTAAATCATCCAATCTGTCTCCTTCTCTAGTCTTCCATACACAAAGAAGAATCGCCAATAAAGGTAAGTGTTATTCTGTTAAAGTTTAATTCATCATGTGCCACTGTACTGTTTATGTACTACATCTATATTTCAAGTAAAAAAAAATTTTGTTTTAATACTTTTGGGTGTCAGGAACGGATTAATTGAATTTACATTATTTCTTATGGGGAAAATTGATTTGCAAACCGTCCATTTCGATAAAAATCCCACTTCCAGGAACGGATTATGGACGATTATTGAGGGACCACTGTACTTCATTATGAGTTGTCTGACAGCAGACAAACAAAATTCACCATACAGTGGTCTGTTGCCAGTCTTCATTTGGTACATATTATATGCACTGAGCATTGAAATGTCCATGAGATGGTAGAAAAGTTTCATGTACCACTTGTAACTCTTACGAACACAATCAACAAAGCCAATCCGCATGTCATATTTGTCAACCAAGCGCGTGTTTTGTGTATGATCAATCACTGTCACTGGTTTTCGAATATGTTCAATAGTCATTCTATCAACTTTGCCACTGTCTTGCATTTTGTTACAGTGAAAGGTTGTCAACAATGTGACATCTCGTTTGTCATGCCACCATAGTGCCATGATGTCATTGGCAGTAAACACCTGCACCTCATCACCACGAGCACCTGCGTTGAACCTGGGCATATATTTACGATTAGAATGCACTGTGCCACACACATCTGTCTTGTTCACTCGCAAGAAATCACTGAGTAAAGGGCTTGTGTACCCCTATCTCACCTATGGAATTTGTGCATGGGGCTCAACAACAATAAACCATCTCAGACCACCAATCACCCAACAAAAGGCTGCAGTCAGAATGATAACAAATTCCCACTACAGACAGCACACTCCACCAATATTCAAAACTCTAAACCTAATCACAATGCAAAACATCCATACTTATTACTGCACCTACTACATACATAGAACACTTAACTCTGACATAAACCCTCCCCTCAAACATCTCCTTACCAACCTCAACAGAACACATGACCATAACACAAGGCACAGATCACTCTTTGATGTTCCTCGTGTCCATCTCACGCTATGCAAAAACTCGATGCACATAAAAGGCCCTAAAATCTGGAATTCATTACCTGTGAATATAAAAGAAACACTGTCTGTTTATAAATTCAAGTCTCTTCTCAAAAATCACTTACTCACCCACAACTAAATAAATACTGAATAACTGTATTTCATAAATTGTATCTCATATATGTCAACCTGTAACCCAATCAAACTTTGTTACTATTTAACTTCATTACCTAACAGAATACTCCATTCTAGTGATTACACAGCAACACAGTAAATGACCATATGACCTGTCTTTGTAATACTCATTTGTACTAAATTGTTATCTGTTTTACAATAATTTTTGTACCACTGAATATATCATTGCTTAGTTAATCTTAAGTTAATTTTAAGTCTGCCCATAATGCTCTGCATACAAGGGGCTTTGGCATGCTGCAATTTAAAAATTGTATTCCTTGTACTTCTCTGTATCATGTTCAAATTAATAAATAAATAAATATAATGTATGCCCCTTACCAAGATAAGGTGTCATCATGCTTCTCACTACGTCACCTGAGATACCCAATAACATCCTGGTATCTTTCAATGTTTAACATCCCGTGTATACAACAATATCCAATACCAGGCCACTGTCACAGTCACAGAGTACAAACAGTTTTATACCAAAGCGTTTCCTCTTGCTCAGTATATACTGCTTGAACGACAGTCTACTTTTGAACAAATCAAAGACTCGTCAATTACAAGATTCTTGAATGGATAAACATACATGTTGAACTTTTGTTTCAGATACATAAAAACATTTCTAATCTTGTATAACCTGTCACTTCTGTCAGGCCTGGTTTTGTCAGAGAAGTGCAACATACGTAACAGCAACATAAACCTGTTCACTGGGATGATTTCACTGAAGACCGGGGTAGAAATTAGCCGATCTGTGGACCAGTATGTTTTTATAT